TAGTTTATCCTCGCTTTCAAGCATTATTTCCAAGATTTTCTATTCAAAATCTTTACCACTATAAATATTGGCTTTTATTTCTGATTAACCACTAGTAGTTGAAGAAACATGCATGGTCACGTATCCAAAAAACGCTGAAAAACAAACACCAAACAAAATTGCCTGTTGTTCCCAGTGAAGATAAACAATGAAGTATGAATCTCAATCATTAATACCAGCTATTTTCATTATCTTAATAATCGTGTATTGCTTTTTACATAAGGTCCGCTCACAAAACACATTTTATAGTACCTAAGCGGCAAGGATAATACACACTACTACTACAGGATAGCCTATCCTCATAAGGCCTGTGAGGAACAAATATGAAGCCCCCCACCACGCCAAATCACCAATTGTGATGTAGGCAGCATGTGATTTCTCGCCTTGACGTAGACTGTTTGCACCACAGGTTATGATTACGCGAGCTTTTGCATATTTGGTGGCCCTCGGGTGGTCATCTTTACCACATACGGATGGGATGCCTGTCAGATTCCTGTGGTTCTTAAATAACTTTTCCCAGCTGGAATGAGGCTGGCCAGATCGACAGAACATCTCCTATAGTAATACCAATAGAATCACCACAAATCAACTACCTTGCGCGTCTTTTCGAGATATTGTAATGTATCGGTGAGAGTTGGATCATAAATCAATCATTTTTATTGCTCTACCTTGTACTGCATCCAATAGAGCCAACGAATGCTTGGGATCATCGCTCCAGATGTGGGAACAGTATTCCATGGTCTGATTTGAGCCCTATGAAGAAGAAGAAGAAGTTGTTCAGAAGTAAAGAAGTTTTTTGCACGAAACAAAAAACCTAATTTTCGAGAAGCGGTTTTGGCGATCGAAGATACATGGTGATGCCAAGACAATTAGTTGGTCGATACGGTCACCCACCCAAGAAGAGATACTGAGGCCACTGAGGGATTGATAGAAATGTTCTGTCCCGCCATCCTTAAAAGTGGGTTATCATTGGCGGAGGAAGCAAATACTGTTGCTCGAGTTTTGAAAGCATTGAAGTTGACTAAAATATTAGAGACTCCAGTGGTGTCAGGCGTGTGGCTACCGTGTGGTAGCTGCAGTAGGTGGTTTGACTGAAGAGAAACATTCCTTCAAGCTACCATTGCCAGCAAAGCTGTATATGGAGTTTCTTTGTCAAATTTAAAAAAAAAAAACATTTATACATGAGAAACAGTGTTGGAGACAGAATTGAGCCTTGGGGAATACAGGCATTTATAAGTAATGTGTCAGAACCCCATCGACCACAACATGCAGTAACTTGTCTTCCAAAAAGCTCCCCAGCCAATGGCAAAACCCTTTCGGGAGACCATACGATGGAAGTTGGCCGACGAGACTTTTGTGCCACACCTGATCAAAAGCTCTGGAGATGTCCAGTGCTGCAATTTTGGATTCGCCATGTCTTTCGAGAGTCGATATCCCACTATGGCTGACGTGCGGCAGCAGATCCCTTGTTGATATTCTATAGAACGAAACTATTGATCGTACTATTTATCAGAGATGAGCTTATTGGCTTCGAGGTATTTAACCAGTTCCAGGTTGATTGATTTTTCCATTACTTTCGAAAATACGGTTACAGGTGAGATGGGACAATAATTGCTAGGAAGAGTTCTCTTGTCATTTTCTGGGATGGGCTGCACTCTGGTACATTTCCAGATAGATGGGAAAACGCCTTGACTGTAGGAGCGAGAAAATAGTTTCCAAAGAACTGAAGTCAATTCTTGTGCGCAATTTTTGAGGACAATTGCTAGAATGCCGTGGAATACAAGATTTTGCAGTGTCAAAGTCTATCGAAAACCTTCTCAAAATCTATGAAGCACGAGTAGGCGAAATGGGTGAAATGCGTGATCAGTGATCACATATTCGGGCCAAGAAATACAAATTGAGTATTTTCTCGCAATGAGCGGCTTAATTTTGACATAAGTACTTTGCACTCCTCAGCACTTGAATTTTCTTGATAATAAGAGTAAACTTTGATTTTAGCAAGTGATCGAATTACTTTTTATTGAACAGTAGGAATCATGATTTGCGTTTTTTTGGAATTTCAGTATGCAAATAAACTTAGCTTGAACAATTATTTGATACCCATATGCCCGATTTGATATACAGACCTATTTTTTATTCGGCAGTATCCTAAGAGATAATATCACTATATTAATATCTAATTGATAGTCAAATACTTATGATGATCCCGTTGATTCGTCCACATTATTTTGTCTCTGTATTACTAATAATTTTTTTTCATAGGTAACAAACGTAAATTTCCCAACCGAATCCAACCGCATAACCCGACAATTTCAAAAATAAACAGCATTTTGTTTGAACGCAAGTGTGAATGGCACGGCGAACATAGAAAACGCGATTATTCGAATTTGTTGTGTGCGATTCACCGGCACGGGAAGGAAAACGTTTGTGTTCAGCTAAATAAGCCGAATATTCGCTAACAAGCACGATTTTTGATCCAAACATGATGCGGGGAATTGCCCCAACATCTCATATTCGTTCACAAATAACGCATGTATGGAGCTAGGGTTGAGATTTCCCAATAACTCTAATTTATAAAAGAAATTTAATATCGAATTACATTTCATTCATAGAAATTCGCCTGGTTACCTGAGTTCAAGAACAGAATCAACAAAACTGCGTTCCCAGGGATACATGACATGGACTGGAAAAGATAATGTCAATATTTTTATTGGCTAGAACTGGGTCTAGGACTGTTCAAAAAAGTTGGTTTTAAATACGATTTCGAACGTTCCTAAAGCGAATTCTGTTCGTTTATGATTTCATTCAGGGAATTATAATGAGTACATCGAATTGATTGTTCCATGCTTCATACATCTTCTATATGTCCCATCAGTCATTAATTCTATGGATTTCTAAATCTTGCGTAAATTAATCCGTATAACACGTGAAGTAGGTGCGAAGTTTCTAAAAATATTGCTATAATCTGAGCAAATTGCTTATAATATTCCGAAACAGAAGAATATTATATTAACTGCCTATAAAAAGCACAACATATTTCCTGTCCATTCCCGTCCTTAATACCACCTCAGCAAAAAGGGCAAAAAACTGATCGCCCACGCCGTCGGCCTGGGGTTGAAAGAAAAAACGGCGTAGACCCGATCGCGTATAATATAAATTGCTAGACTTTTTCCTCAAGAAACCCCGAAACGTATTATCATAAATAATAAGAATATAAGAAAATAAAAGCAGTTTTTTATGTTTCGGCACATTTTGGGGACCCCAACGCCTCGCGCCGGTCGTTAGATACATTCGGCATCAATTCTTCTCGCTTCTCGAGTGTTTTCATCCCCCTTTCGCCCTTTTGCGTCCTTCTGACAAATTCCAATTGTATATGTCCACTATTGTTTTGATGCAGAACAGGAGTTAGACAAATAATTTTAGGTAACTATGGAATACCTATTCCTATTCTACAACAAATGTCGTCAGATCTGTGATACGAGAAACAGTGCTAATAATTGAAAAAAACAAACCAAATATCTACAATTTCTATTCATCATCCATCGTTTAAAGTGAAACTTACTCAAAACTTCCCCTATTTTTAGATTTTCGAACTGCTTCAAGCGTTTCCCAATCCACAAGGTTAAGCCTTAAATTAAACCATTCATTCGATATTGAAAAGTGCTGTTTAAGAATTTAGGAAATGGAAGCTAATATGCATTTAGAATTCTTAATTGAATCCTGCCCTGTCCTTTCCTCTTTTTACCCATTTGAAATTGAAAATAAGAAGTTTCTGGCGTCCAGCTTCGATGGTCGTTTTCCCACTTTATTCCGACGTTTGTATGAATGGACACGGAAAAGAAAAGTCAGTAATCAAGCGGCCTAAACGACTTCTATTGTGGGTCATTCGACCCTTTTTGCCACCATACCATATAATCCTATATTTGAGTTAGTGTGACTACAAGTAATAAATTACAACGTAATTTCCAGGTAGGCTATTTTCTTATTATTAAACTGGATTGATGAACTAAACCAAATTATACAACTGTTTTAAATGGCCCTAAACCCAGTTCTAGTCAAAAAGAAAGCTGACAGTTATTATTTTTTCCAGTCCATGTGATGCAACCTGAATTATACCATAGTATATAATATTTGATCGAACAAGATCATTTATCCCCCAAAAATCAATTTCAAGTTGTATAATATGCTAGAGTAAAAACAAACGAATTTGATTGACATTTTTACCGAGGTCAGCTAATAATTTCAAACAGAGGGTTGACTGTTTTCTTTATTTAGGACAGAGGGCACTGACAATTGAAATCTAAAACTTTAATTCAACTTACTGGTCCGTGTAAATAATAGCTTTCTCTATAGTAGATCAGTAAATATTTTTGAAATTTAACAATAATGGAATAATTAGAATTTAAATTCCATTTGCCTGCATACATTTCTTTAACAATCAGTTTAGGTGATCGAAAATATAAAAAGAAATCACCATAAAAAAGTCTTGTTATCTTTTCAGGAGTAACCCAAGCAATGTAATATTTTTTCAAAGGTTAGTTGTTTAGTAAATTTTACATCTCAAACAGTCATATTTGGTGGAAATAATATAGTGGTTATTATTTTTTCGGTATAGTGAAATGTGCGCCAGCAAAGGGATAGAAGTGAGGGCAACATAATTATTTTATGGAGCGTCACTTCTAAAAATGCAGCCCCTTGATAGCAACTGCGATAGAGCTCCCCTGTTTCCCTTAAATTATTCTAAACTGATGTTTCGTTATAAAAAGATTTAGAGTCCACTTTAAGTGCGGGAAATAAATTTATAGGGCTATCAGATCGGTTTATTTTGCAATCGGAAATGGTAAAAGTGGCCTCGTTGAGACTCTTTTTTTGAGTTGCTGAGTGAAGCTTCACATAACTTCATAACTAATAACATTCAAATTACAGAAGGTGGAGGATCCTAATTATCTATATTGTTTCAGGACGATGGAATTATGGAGCAGGACATGATAGACGGAAATGGTGCTATCAACCTTTCTACGTCACAACGGCCGTCTGCTGCTACGACTCCAAACGACAGTGTACATCAAGATGACGTCGAACAGGTGAGACGACATAAAACTCGAATATGCGACTTTTATACACCCTCTTTTTTGCGTCGAAGAAAAATGCAATTCACAGTCTCAAAGAAAACTCTATATCCAGCTCTGTCCGCTCTAATCAGGCGCTGTCTAAAATAGAGCTATCCCACCCGTTCAGCCTCCCGCTTGCATGACTCGAATCCGCCACCTCCCGATCCTTTAAAATCCACCCCGCCTTTCCCCTTCCGGGGCGTACTAATGCACTGGATTTTTCATCTTAATTGAAAGCGTTTTGGCCAGATGTCTCCAAATATAAAACGAACTGGCATTGGAGGAAAAAAGAGTGTATTCTTTTGCTTTGTATTTTTGAGTTGTTTCTTCAGTTTTACCATTTTTCACCCTACTAATGCTTACAGGGAGTGGCGTGATAAGTTCTGTTTTTTTGATACTTTGTCTAATGTTTCTTCCATTTTTATAATTGGGAGATGCTAAAATAGTTCTGTTAAAATTATTAGACATGACTATACGGGGTGTCCCACGGTGGATGATGTATTAGACGTTTATAGAGAACTAAAAAGCGGATCATCGCTATTTCAAATGGAACACCCTGTAGGTATATTTTTAAATTTTTGAATTCGGCCTATAATTATGAGCAACTTTTCCTTATACTTTCCTATACCTATCTGTCGCCATTTTTCGGGAATACATTAATTTCAGTTTCTTTGAAATTTGGGTTATCCCTTAACAATGCCTGTGGGCATTTGATCTTTCGCTCACATCTTAATTCAAGTATACATGATGGTCCAGAAATTAATTTCTGTCAGTAACTTGCAAAAATGCCAAAAAATGAATTTTTCAAATGGAACACCTTGTATAATAATACGGATTTGGAAAGCTGATGAAATTAGCTTCCAGGGCTATGTATACTTTGCCTATACCTAATTCTTCATGTTTTCGATTTATTAGCGTTTATTCATGAAATTTCATATCATCATTGATCACATGGATAATAAATACCTAAATGCATTAAACTTGTATTAGAGTAATTATTATCCTCCACCATTGTAGGCGCCCAAATGAATTATTAAAAGAATGACATTTTCATAAAACGAATTGTCATAGTTATGTAACAAAAAATATATTCCCCACCATTACCATTTAAACTGTTGAAAGTTTGTCGATTATGAAATTTCGTGAATAAACGCTAATAAATTGAGAACATGAAGAATAAGGTATAGGCAAAGTATACATAGTCTGAATGCTAATTTCATCAGCTTTTTAAATCCCTATTATTATACAGGGTGTTCTATTTGAAAAAAACATTTTGCTGGCATTTTTATAACTTACCGACAGAAATTAATTTCTGGGCCATCCTGTATACTTGAACTAATATGTGAGCGATAAATCAAATGCCTACAGGAATCGCTCAGGGATAACCCAAATTTCAGCTCAAAGTTGTTCTATAGGAGGGAGATATCAAGATTGGAAGTCCTGTTTTCTTTAAAAAAAAATTGAAATTAATTTATTTCCGAAAAACGGCGATAGATAGGTATAGGGAAGTATTAGGAAAAGTTGTTCATAATTATATGCCGAATTCGAAAATTTTAAAATATACAGGGTGTTCCATTCAAAATAGCGAAGTTGCCACTGGTTTAGAGTAGAAGCGGCAACACCGCATGGTCAAAAATATTTTTAAAGTGTAGATCATGGTCGTTTATTCCGGTTGCCAAATTTTAAAAATGATCCGCTATTTAGTTTTCTATAAACGTCTAATACGCCATCCACCGTGGGACACCCTGTATTCTGTATTTGTGCAGTTTTAAAATTCTATAATGTATGGTAACATTCTTTGGAAGAGCTACAAAACAGGAAACTTTCTATAAAATGCTTTAATCTTTGTTAATATTTTTCAAACCCTTTGACAAAAAAAATTATGTATAGGTACTTTTGCAACTTGTAAAAAAACAGCTGCATTAGAAAATAGTTCTATTGAAGCTTCTCACACTAAAAAGTTTCCACGAAACAAGTGTTTAACCAACTGGTAATAACCCATACAATGAGTTTGTATTGATTCTGGTGATTGCTAGATTACATAATACGTGTAGTTTTGCTCTATATATAAGATAATGGCGAAACCCGAACCGGTTTCAAGCTTATTAGCTATCGTCAGTCCAATCTAAGCGAAAGCATACCAACTCAAAGAAACAGGGTCACAAGAGATTCCAACCATAACATAAAAATGGGTTTTGCGATGTAGGTGTACTGAACATTCGTCTACAAATTGCTATAAACACTTTTGCTTTGTTTAAAACTCCGAATTCTCAATGATTAGATACTCAGGTAGTTGTATACCGGTTTGGATCAGTTTCATCTACTTGTCTGGAGAACCTGCATTCCATTTCATTACTGGGTCCGATTTTGTGCAAGTAGTATCTGACCATACCCAGTGCCCCCTCAGGACGCCTGTGATGACTATTAGTTGGCTCCTGTTTAGTTTGCGGAGACTTTTTGCAGTTTGAGGAACTTTGTATAAATATCCTTGACTATCTGAGGCCTTTTTGATTCAACCATTCGTCTTGGAACTGGCTGTTGGACCAGTTCCTGATCTTGGTTTTCTCTAGGCAGGAAGCAACCCCAAGTGCACGCTCCGGCCCATACAGTGTTGCCACCTTCACGCGCCAGCTGGTTCACCTCCTCGTTGGCCTTCACGCCCGTGTAACCCGCCCACTGAGAAGTTCTAGGGCTGTCATAAAGTCAAGCGTGGGCCTTGAGATGGACTTGTCCAAGCATAGGACTGCCTGACTGTCGCTGTATATATGAATATACTCGCCCGAGTCGAGTGAGTAACATCTCTGGAGATTCTCCTGGACACAACGATCATCATCATCATCATAAGCGATCAGTCGATACCGAGTATCATTATTCTCTATCCTACTCATATTGTCGTCGTTGTGCGGTTTCTGGTGGCTATATGATCCAATTCTCAACACTCTTCCACAGTCTTGGCATATTCAGCCTCTGGCAGCTTTTTCTCTTCGTTTGTTTTCTCGCTTCTTCCTGCAGTCCCTTTTTTCGATCTCGTGTCTGTGTCGCCGTTCTTCAAAAGTTTGTGATTCGTCATGGACTACTCGACGCCATGAGGGCCTAACTTTCGTCGTCGTCTCCCAGTTGCTGGTAACGATACGGCACTCTACCATATTGACCTGTCCAGCGAAGTTGGTGCTTGATGAGGGCTTCCATGCTAATTGTTTTGGCCTCTTCTGGAACACGAATGTCGGTCATGCCATTTAATTCGTAGGATTCTTAGGAATCACTGCTTGTATTTTCCATGGTTTTTATGTGTCTTCTGTAGTAGGTGGTCCATGTTTCGCAGCCATATGTAACTGTTGCTATTAAAACTGCATTGTAGTCGCTGTTTGGTCACAGCGCTAATCTCTAGAAGTCGCCCGAACGCCGCGCTAGCACACGTCAACCGATATTGGATTTCAGCGTCAATGGTTGCATCCGCTGACAGATGGCTCTCAAGGTATGGGTAATATTCTTCGTTCTGCAAAAAATAGTCATTTATATTTGGGGTTTGAGGATTACTGTCCGGTGCGGGTTGGTGGAGGATCTGCGTCTTGTTAAGGTTGGCCTCTTGGCCGATCTTTCTGTATGCGTGGTTGAATGCATTGATAATTGCCTGAAGATCTTCCTCTGTATTGTTCTCTCTGTATTATCAGCGATTCAATAATCAAAACTTTCTCTCTCCAAAATCTCTAGTTATTTATGTAAAAAAATAATCGTTGATATGAAATGAGCTTTCCAATCTTGACACTCAGTATTGAAGTTCCAAAATGAATGAAAATAAATAACTGTCGATAAAAGCTGAGATTCGAACTCTCTGTTTTTCAATTCAAATTGGTGACGGCATTCGAAATTGAGCGAACTACACTGACTTTGCATTAAATTATATTTAAAACCGCTTTTTAATTTCAAACGAGATGCAGCCCGAGAAGACTCGCAGAACTTCGGAGGTGAGAAAAAGCCAAAGAAACAAAAAAGAGCACGGGCTCCGCGACACCTGGCGTTTGTTAAAATCTTTAATTAAAATACGCGACTGAAAACAAAGAATGTTGCAAAATTAGCTTCGTTTCTAATTATGCAGCAGCGGAGCAAATTCTTAATTTTGAAATCGGAATCGAAACGAACTGAGCGAAAACTTTATCGAACACATCTATCAAGCAAATATATTCTGCTGCAATTTATGAGCTTTGAAAGGAAACTTCTGTTTTGAAATTTTTGAACTAAATTATGGAAATCTTTCAAATAATAATCAAATTATAATGGAGGACTCTGAGCTCTTATTGATCATAATTTTTCCCTAACTTCTTTTAGTTTATTTAATTATTCAACCTATTTTTCTATTATGTCTACTTTTTTTACGCAAATTTCGACCAAATACATAATCAAAAACAACATATGAAATCTTATAGATGTTAGGACCAAAAAACCCAATATTAAGTCTGGCAAAAAGTTGTATAAAAGTCTTACGAAACAACATATGGTGTAAATGGCTTAAAGGGGCCAAAACGCGTCAGATGAATATCGATTACCGGCCATAAAAAACGGCGTGATAAAATATATTGTTTTAGAAGACAGGAGTTACAAAAATGAATCTGGAAAGCAGACAAAAAAAATCGGAGATATAACTTTCGTATTTAATCTGAACAACTAAATATGTAGCTATGAGTATCAAATAAATTGAAACGACGCTTTTGGGCAAATGGAAAATCTTGAAACACATACTAAATTGAACCTCCTATAAAAATCAAAATGTGCCAGATAATACAATACCTACGTGTGGTTTTGCCCTATAAGACAATGAACAGAACCCGAATTCTCAATCTAATTGCATACCGGTTTTGAGCACACCCAGACGAGTAGTTTCTCAGTTTTATTCTGTAAGAATTCGAAGAGAGGGAGCCACAGTCTATAATAGGTTTACTTTGAAGCCTTGTAATTCCTCAAATAAGAAAGAGGAG